GCCAGTGCGCGAGAGCGCCCCGGGGCGCAGCGGCGCGTGCGCACGAAGGTCTCGCGGTCTCCCGCGAGGGGGCCGAGGGGCGGGCGGAGGGACCGCCCGGGGTAGTCCGAGGGTCAGCCGCGCGGAGGAGGTAATTAAATCGTCACATATGACCTCATGTAGGCGTTAACAACCCTGGGGTGCCGGGGCCTGGGAGCCGGGGTGGGGATTCGGGGGGTTTATCAGTAGGGGTGTGAGGAAAATTAAGGCTTAAAATAAATAACCTCCGTAGTGAGTGGCAGAACTGACACCCAGATCTCTCCTCTAAGCCTTGGGCTCGAGTGAAATGCTTACATGGCGTTGCTGAGGAGCCACTTGAGAAGGTGCCTTTGGGGAAGCGAGTTCAAAGAGTCCACAGGTTTGCACTGGCTGGTAAAGTCGGGAAGCACTTTTATGTTTAGGTCTTCTCTGTCATGTTCACTGTTTAGGGTAAGCCCCAGATAGTTAATAAAAAAGTTTATAAATTCTAAAAACACAATAAAATTTTAAAGTTTTTAAACATGTCCCACATCCCTCCGTGCATTGCCCAGATGCGCACCTCTACCTCCCTCCTAAGCTCGGTGAATGTCAGACCAGGGGTCTTTTAGTTATAAGCCTTTATAATCCTCAGCCACCCATTATCAGTCTATTACTTTAGGAAAACCTTTTCTCAAACTTCATAGCCACTTGAGGTAATATTTTATATACACCTGCTTTCTAAAGAAGCATTTCTTCCTATTTGTCCTAAACTTGCCTTGTTTGGAGAAGCCATACATAAATAAGATGATATGTCTGGAAAGCATTATATGTAAATGAGATAATTATGTGTAAGCATCACACACCAACTAATTTTTGAAAGTCGAGGGAGGGATGTAGGATAATGTGACCAGTTTTTACATTTTTCAGTTTTTAATGACTCATTCAACAAACATTAAGTACCTGTTACCATGTGCCAAATTTTGAGGGGACTTGTAGTCCTGCACATAATTTGAACTTTACCTTATAGGATTCCCTATTAGATAAAAGTTTTTAAAAAGATTTTAGATGGAGGCATGATGTGGTTAGACTTGCAAGAGAAATGGCCGAAGGGAGGCTAAGACAGGAGTCAGGGAGGCGATTCAGTACTGTGATTTTCAAATTAAATTTTGAGAAGTATTGGAGTCTTTTTCACACAAAATCTGTCACAGAACCCCAACATACAAAGTAGATGAAAACTTGTGTTTTTTTATTAAACATAAGTTCAAAATTTTAATATTAACTTTATAGGTAAATTTTTTTAAAAAAAGAGGCTGGTGTGTTGTTGTTTTTGTTTTGTTTTGTTTTTAACAGACAAGGAATTTATCAAAAGGAAATTGGGTAGCTAAAGTAATAAATGGGAAGTTGGCAGAACCATGTTCAGAAAATGGGAAGGAACCAAGGGAGTCTGTGGGCGGCAGAGACCAACAGAAACTAGTCTGGTTAGGGTGCCATGATGGCCTCACTGCCACTGAAGTCTTGACTCTGCTCTTTTATGCTGGAAAACTTCCGAAGTTGGGGGTTATGGACAACAGTTGCAGTTAGGACAGCTACAAGCAGCCTCAGGACAGTTTCTTATTCTTCTGTTTTGACTGTACACTATCAAGAATATCCTGATCCATCCAGAAAAGTAGATACAAATTAGAATGGTCTTGATGATTTGCGTTGAAATCTTGGACATATGCTTCAAGTATAAAGATGGCAGGAGGAGATTAATTCTGAGATCTACACTCAGATGATTTAACCTCAAATTAACGTGTAGGCAGTTTGCAGTGTGTTAAATTTTGGCATTATATCCCTTAGCAGTATGAAAATCAATTTTAAAAAGTGAAATTTGAATCAAACATTTGTGGAACCTGAAGTATGTCTGAGAAACTCTAGGTTCTGTGGCATCTATAAGATACCATGACTATCTCTCTCTGTTTTCTATTCTAAGGTAGGAAATTACTTCAAAGAAAGCAGATAGATAGTGGATCACACTCAGGTATTAAGGAGTTTTTGAATGAAATATTTTCTTAACCTAAAAATACAGAGCTGGAAAACATGACTTCTAGCTATCTCTTCTGACTTTAAGATTATAACAGTGCCACCACCATAACTGAAATAAGATCATTTCTTAAAAATCCACAACTCAGATCAGTTCCAATTCTTGATGGCTGTGAAACAAAGGGGCTTAGAAATTGGCATTCAAAAGCATAAGTCAATGTTTAAAAAACATTGTGTCCAATAATTAAGAATTAATGCCATAAACACATAAACACTTAGTTTTACACAATACATGGAGAAATGGCATACCCCTTTAGAAGGAACCCCTTAAAAATAACTATGAAGAGTGATGCTGTGTATAGCATTTAGCTTGTGTATGGATATGATGTTACTCCTAGAAAGAAGGGATTTAGCCTTATTTTTGTCTTAAAGGCACCTAGGATACTATAGGTGTTCAGAACATGCTAAAAATTAGTTCTTCTTGGGGTGCCTGGGTGGCTCAGTTGGTTAAGCATCTGCCTTCTGCTCAGGTCATAATCTCAGGGTCCTGGGATGGATCCCAGGCTCAGCCAGGAGTCTGCTTGTCTCCCTCTCCCTCTGCCCCTCCCTCCGCCCCTGCTCCTGCTCTCTCTCTCATAAATATATAAAATCTTTTAAAAAATGAGTTCTTCAAAATTGATAAATTGGAATATATTAAAATTAAGAATTTCTGTTCATTAAAAGGCACTATTAAGAGAATCGAAAAGTAATCCATAGTGTGGGAAAAGTATTTGCAATACCTATCTCTGACAACGCACTTGGTATCTAGAACAAATCATTTAAAAAAGACAGTCCAGTAGAAAGATGGACAAAATATTTGAATGGACTCTTCAGAAAGCAATATCCAGATGTCCAATAAACATGGGAAAAATTGCTTAATTTCAATAATCATCAAAAAAATGGAAATTAAAACCACAATGTAGTACCATTACACACCCACCAAAGTAGCCGAAGTAGAAAAGATGGAAAGTTCTAAATGTTGGTGAGGATATGCAGCAATTAGAACTTTTATATACTGCTGGCAACCAATTTGGAAAAAATTTTGGCAGTATATATTCAGCTGCATATGTAATGTATGTAATGTTACAATCAGCCATGTCACTCTTGGATATATATTTGTATTAGTAAGGCTGCCATAACAAAATACCACAAACTGGCTGCCTAAACAACAGAAATTTGTTGTTCACAGTTCTGGAGACTAGGAAGTCTAAGATCAGGGTGCTGGCTGATTGGATTTTTCTTGGACAGAGTTCTCTTCCTGGCTTATAGCTCCTTCTTAGTATATCCTCTCATGGCAACAGAGCTAATTCTGGTGTCTGCCTTTTTCTCTTCTGACAAGAGCACCAGCCCTATCAGATTAGGGTCCCACTCTTATGACTTCATTTAACTTTTATCACTTCTTCAGGGACCCTATCTCCAACTACTGTCACATTGGGTGTTAAGGGCTTCAATATGTGAATATTGAGGGGATGCAAACATTCAGCCGTAACAATGCCCCACAGAAATTGTGTGCACATATGCTCCAAAAGACATGTAGTAGAATATTCATAACACTATTCATATTTGTGATATTCAACCTGGAAATTACTCACATGCCTGTCAATAATAGAGTAGATAGACAAATTGTGGCATTCACTTGATGGAATACTATATAACAATGAGAAGGAATGGTCCATAATTGCACACAGCAAGCATGAATCTCATGAACATAAGGAAGAGTGAAAGAAGTCAGACCCTAAAGTACTTATAATATGATTTCATTTCCATGAGTTATAAAAACTGGCCAAAATTCATCTTTGCTGTTAGGAGGCAGGATAGTGATCACCCTTACAGGGGTGGAGATCTAGGGGAGTCAGGGACTAGGGGGATGAGGGGACATCTTGGGGATTGGATTATTCTCTTCTTTTGTTCATATATTTCTATAGTTCTTTTTAAGACTCTTTTTTTTAAAAGATTTTATTTATTTATTTGAGAGAGAGCAAGAGAGAGGGAGAGAGAGAGAGAGCGTGAGCAGGGGGGAGGTGCAGAGGGAAAAGCAGACTCCCGGACGATTAGGGATTCCCACATGAGGCTTGATCCCAGGATGCTGGGATCATAACCTGAGCCAAAGGCAGACATTTAACTGACTGAGCTACCCAGGTGCCCCAAGACGTTTTTTCTTAGAGTAATTTTAGGCTCACAGAAAAATTAAGAGGAAGGTAAAGAGATTTCTCATATATCCTCTGCCCCACACATGCATAGCCTTCCCCATTATCAACATCCCCACCAGCGTGATAGATTCGTTATGACTGATGAACCTGTGATTGATCTGGTCCCTAGTTAAATGGCTGTAGTCAATTTGTGAAAAAAAATTTCTTTTAAGTAGGTTCCACGCCCAGCATGGAGCCCAATACAGAGCTTGAACTCATGACACTGAGATCGGGACCTGAGCTGAGATCAAGATTCAGACGCTTAATCAACTAAGCAACCCAGGTGCCCCAAAAATTCTTCTAACTGAACATGTATGGTATGTGCATTTTCTGTATGTATATTATACTTCAATTAAAAGCTTGAAAAAGAATAAATTCTACAGGTAGTATTACATATTAACACATCCTATTATCAGTGTTTATTAAGAAATACATATAGAGAACATAAATAGTGGGCATGACCCAAAGGTGACCTTGTACATATATAGAATATTTATTCTCACATTGTTTTTTAGTACCTTGCTGTGAGATTATGATTTACTCATATATTTCTAATGGTGTGATTTAAAAGAAAGTAAAGTAGACATGTAGATTTTAATTCACTGCAGTTCTCAGAGGGAGAACTATAGGCAAGATAGTGGGTGCATATGTCAGCCAGTTAGTAAAAGATAAAGGAATTATGAAAAAGGGATATAAATGTTTACATTTAGGATTTCATTGACAAATTCCACTTTGAGGCTTAAGGACTTTTGGTTCAAGGAAAGAAGGACTATGGAGATGATGCTGCCTGATTCATATTCCAGTGTGCTTTGGAACTTAAAAACAGATACCCCCAAAGAGCCACTGACCAGGCTCTCCTAGGAACCCAAATCTCTTTAATGGCTCAGCGCCCTCTAAGCCAAGCTCAGCACCAGAGGAGGTGGCTTGAGTTACCCCTACAGCTGGATGAATGCTCATTAATTCTCCCCACTCCCATTAGTGGTGAACTTTGCTTGCTGCTCCGTTCCTGTATCCTTGTGTCTGCCCTGGCAAGGACAGTATACATTGGCTTTATGCAAAATTATCCTCATGGAGGTACTGAGTTATGGCAGAAGTCATTAGGAAAGGAAAGAACTGCTGTATACTTACCTAGATCTTGAGTCCTGTGGGAAACTGATTGATGTTCTGAAAGCCTCCAAGGAGTTGGCTGGCAGCTGGGGCTGCTGCTACAAAGAGTGGCAGGAAGCATTACCCTGGTAAAACATGTTACTGTGAACACAGAGGGTAGAGAGATCTCATCTAAACTGCATGTTGTGTCTAAACTACTCTCAAGCTCTCCCCCCACTGGAATGCAAACTTCCTAAGGCCAGGGACTTATGCCTGTTTTGTTAATCTTTGTGATTCTAGCACCTAGGACAATACTTGCAATATGGTAGGTACTCAACATCTTGAAAAAATGAAAAAAAAAAAAAAAAGTGAGCAAAGTGAATACAATTAGTATGTTTGAGGGATGTTAGAGAAAAATTGTAATATGTAGGGTAAGTGGTTTTAATTTAATTACAATTTTAATTTTGGTAGTTAGAGAAATTAAACTATAGAATAGATAAGAAACTTACCCAAGATCATATACTAGAATCAAGAATCAAAATTCTGACCTTCCAACTTTCTGTGAGCTTTTCATTAGGAAACATTTCTATTTCCTTCTCCTGCTGTGGATGCTAGAATCCAGTGGCACGGAGACATATTTGTGACTTTTTGAAACCAGATAGCGATTTATGCTAATAGAGAACACAATCCATTTTATGGGCATGTTCCCAATATTGCAAATCCTATCTAGTCAGTTTGGGGAAGCATTTGAAAACATGGCCAAATAAATTTACCTTGTCATATGGGTCATAGTTATGGTCCCAGCCTTGTAAAATGAGCTTTGTTTTACTAACAGATACATGCATGAAAAGCATATGACATTTTTTAACACAAATCATATCTTCATACTGAATTCCAAAGATGTTTTGGCTTTACTGCTGATCTTCATTCGACAGTGGCTTTTAGCACTTCAGCTGAAGTCTTTATGCCCCCTCCCTAGTCTCCCTGTCAAGTAGTTAATGATCTATAAACAAATACTGAGATGCCCTAAGGGGGCTCTCCATTTAAAGGGGCCTTGAATCATTTGATAATAGAAATACAGTAGTCCACCCACTGATTTATTTATTTGTCAGTTTAGATTTTTGAAGTGATGTTCCACTGGTATTTCAGATGGGAGAAGTTTTTAATTTTCTGTGCAGTTAATATTAAATTTTAATCCAATTTTTCCTTTCAGGAGAAAACTTCCAAAAATGTTAATTTACATTTGCAGTTTCCATTGTGTGAAATACTTTTTTATTTGTGTGTGCTTAGGTGTGTACATTTCAGTTCCATAAGCTAAAAGTGGCTGCAGAGGGTAATAATACCAGCAAAATGGTATCTACCAGTTCCTGAGTGTTTCTTCCTGATAGGTAGTTTACACCTATTTTCTCATTTAAACAACACTCCAAAGCAGGGCTTCATTTACCTCAATTTCAAGCTGAGAAAACTGAGTATCAGAAGTTAGAGAAGTTAAGATAGTTAACTGCAGTCACAGAGCAGGCAACTGGGATTTGAACCTTCATTGACGGTATGCAAAATCTCATGCTTTGAACATAGTTACAGAGTCAGGTGATGCCAGACTCAGCGTAAATGTTGCTGACACAAGTGAACATCCCTTAGATGTTGCATTATCAGGAAATAGCATTGTACCAAAATATGGCCCTTCTAGCCTAGAAGTCTATCTGCCTCAAAGGAAATTTGGGGGCCTACATGATGACTCCAAAAAAAATAAAAAGGTTTTCAAAACTAGATCACTTTGCAAAATTTGTTGTAAAACAACTATTTCTATGTATATTGAAAATACTTCTAAAATATCTTGAAAATTTAAAACCTGCCAGGATGTTTGGGCACCATCAACAAAGATCCCAACTCTAAGCCAGTTATCGGGCTCTGAAAATTGGGTTTTATTTGGGGACCATGAGTAAAGCATATATGGAAATGTGTTGAACTGTTTTTTACAACTTCTTGGTTAGTCTAAAATTTTATTCAAATTAAAAAGTTTAGTTTTAAAAACTTTGCATCTGGCCATAATTTGAATGGGTATGAGTAATACCACCACTATGCATAATAGGCACATTTAGTCCAAGCCAGCATTTCAGTGAACCACAACTTGTGGTTCAGCTTTTTTTTTTTTAATTCCTTGTTGCTATTTCTAATAAAGCAAGATGTTAAAGCTAACTACATGCTCTATTAATTATATGAAGGTGAACTTGAGTCATATTTGTTACTGAAGATGATTAATAATTACCAGCTCTGCACACGTTTCTGGTGCATTTCAGTAAATAAACAGGGTACATTGTTGGGTAGTAATTGATTAATTAGCACATTCATCCTACACAGCTCAGTGGTCTAAGGATGCTGAGTTTGAGATATTGCTCATAATTATTACAAGAAACAAATCTGTTCCATTTTTCAGTTTATTCTTCTGTATGCTAAGATTTTTTTTTCTAAATCGAATGTTTAATGGTTCAAAACCTTATAGGTTTTATTCAGATAAATCAACTCATGAAGAATTGCTAGTCATAATCTCCAGAATCTTGTTTTTGTGTGAACTAGGGTGAAAACTTCTACAAGGCTAATGTTAACATTAGATCTTGATGTTAAACTGGATCAAATACTGTAAATATAGGGCACTTCCCCACCATGCAGGAAATGCTCATTGAGCACCTATGTGCAACAGGGGTACTGGAATCTCATTTGCTTCCCAACCACATCAAATAAGCTCAGGATTGCAAGTGTCATCAGGTTGGCACTTCGCAGCACCAAGCAAATACACTGTGTAATCTTCAGAGAAGTATAACAGCATGTATTGTTTGCTGATTTGACTACGCAGTAATTTAGGATTTTTTTCCCCCTAATTTATTGAGCCAGCATGTAGTTGAAAGAGCTTTGGATGGGGAGTCAGGAATCCTGGGTTCTGTTTTATCTGTATTCTTTCTTGAAGAAGCTGTGTGATTCTGGGCACATCACTACTCCCTTCTCTAAGCATGGATCGCTCATCTGTAAAATGACAGTGTCAACCAGGGACGATGAGGTACATGAGGAGCCTAAGCTGCAGAGACAGACAGAGCTAGGTTTGAGTCTGGACCCTCTATTACTGGTTTTATTATTTTAGGGAAATTATTTATTTAACCTCTTTGAATTTCTGCTCTGTTTACTTTGAGTTTTTTGTAAGGATCAAGGGAGATATGAAAATAGTTTATAAACTATAAAGTACCTGTGAATATAGGGCATTGTTAATATTATTATTATTATTATTTTTAAAGATTTTATTTATTTATTCATGAGAGACAGAGAGAGAGA